TTGATTAACATTAAGAGCATCAAACTCGTTTTTTCATTACTTATTCCTAATGAGGATTTCCTTTGGCTTATTGATAAAATAGTGGTTCAATGATCTTTGATGTGACTTGATTACACATAAAAGTGATTTGGTTAAAAGTGTGATATGAAGAACAAGGAATAAAAGCTTGTATGAATAAAAGCTTCTAGTTCTAAAATTTCTTGCATGTTTTCATAATCCAAAACATTTGGAAGACAAATACCGTATGCATCATAATTCATGAGATGATGATGTGGAAATTTATGTTCAACACATTTGACATATCGCAAAACATTTTTTTTGTTTTTGAAGATCAAGAACTTTGTATCCTTTTTTTACAGAAGTATAACCTACAAAGATGCAATCTTTGATATGGGCATAAACTTGTGTCTATGAGCAGTCAATGTGGACACAAAACATAAGCATCCAAAATAATTCAATGGATTCTTCTTGAACAACACTACATACAGAGATTTGGTATCAAGAACTCTAGAAGCAGTACGATTGATGATATGTATTGCTATCAAAATACATTCACCCTAATATTGTTTTCTAGCCCATATTGAAAGAATAAATCACATGAAATTTCAAATAAATTCTCGTGTTGTCGTTCTACAATCATTTTGTTTGTGAGTGTAAGAACATGACCTTTGATGAGTAATTCCTATAGATTGAGAAAGTATGATGCCTTCATTACCTAATCCAAGTTCAAAGGCATTATATGTTCGAATTGTCTTGATGTTAACTTAAAAATCAGTGATAACATATTTGACAAATGCATGGATTATAGAGAATGATGCACTTTTATGTTTAAGTAAATGAACCCAAGTAGATCTGCTATGATCCTCAAAGAATGGTTAAAAAAAATACTTGTAACCATTATTTGTTGATACTTTTTATGGTCCCCATGTGTCATTGTGAATTAAATCAAATGGATTATTTGATCTAATTTCACTAGGTTATAGATCTAATTTGTGTTGTCTTGCGTGAAAACATATTTTTATTTTGTTGAAAGGTAAATGACCTAGTCTCTTGTGCGAAAGAGAATCAATATCATTCTAATCACACGAGTCTAAAGATTTATTACTAGAAAAATGATTCATAGATGTAGAAATCTTCAAAGGATAATGTTCCCATATGTAAAGACTATTCACCTTTTTGCCGATTATGAAACAACTCTTCGACAAAGGGGCCTGCATTGCACAAAACTCATCAGTAAAGAGTATCCAAATCTATAACTGAGTTGCGAGTTTAGCAACACAGATTAATTTTTTTTTTTGAATTCAGGAACATAAAGAACTTGATGATGTTTAATTGTGTTATGAATTATCACATCTCCAATTTGATATACTAGAAGAGATTGACAATTTGGTAGATTAAGTGAATGAAATTGAGATAAGTTATTTATTGAAGAAAATAAAGATTTATCAAAACAGATATGATTTGTAGCTCCTGATTCAATAATCCATGAGAATTTCTCATTCTTTGAGTCATCAAGAACATTGAAAACATATGATATATGATTTCCGGAAGAATCAATGAAATTAGTTGCAGTCGCCATAGCACCATCAGTGACAACCGAATTTACTGGAGATGAGTTGGTTGTGTTGCTTAAGATTTGCTCATGTGAAGCTGAGGTGAAGTTGATTGAGAACAATCAGCAACATTATTCACATTTGATTCAGGCCTCTTTGATTTTGTGAATTTGAAATTAGTTAGGATTCCATTCAACCTGTAACAATTAGCATATGTATGTCCAATTTTCTTACATTGAGAACAACTCATATTCTTCTTAGAGTTGTTACTAACAAGTATCAACATCACTTTAGTAACAACATTTGGAGAAGACGAAATTTCTCTTTAAAGTTCTTCATTAATGAACAAAGAGTGAACAGTTGCAATGTTAGGAAATGGATTCATCATAAAGATCTAAAATCTTGTTTCTTTATATGAGTCAGTCAACCCTATGAGTAATTGAATCAAATGTTGTACCACAATTAATTTGTGAAAAATTAGAGGCAAAGCACAAGTACATGTAGGAATTTCTTGAATGATCTTTATTTCGTCCCAAATTCTCTCGAGTTTTGTAAAATAGCTTGAGAAATCTTCAGATCCTTGATTAATAGAATATAATTGCTTCTGAATTTGGTATATTAGTGCTCCATTTGATTGTTCGTACCTTTGTCTCAATTCAAACCATATATCTTGTGTTGTTTGATGAAACAAGACATTATTAGCGATCTCATTTGTTAATGAATTCAAAATCCATGAAATTATCATTGAATTTACTCGATTCCAATTTTGGAATGAATCGGAATTTGTATTTGGAATAGTGGACGATCCATCAACAAAACACATCTTGTTCTTTGTAGAAAGAGCACGTGCGATCGACCTTTTCCATGTAGCAAATCATATGCCATTGAAGACTTTTGCGACAAGGATTTTACTTGGATTATCAGATGAATCGAGATGAGGAGGATTATAAATCTCAGTTTCAGATCCATTGAGTCCTCCTATAGTATTTGATGAATTCGCCATGAAATTTGAAAAAAAAAATGAATAATTTATTGAGAAAAACAACGATGAATGATCAAAACTCTCTCTTTAATACCATATAGAACGAACTGAAGATGAAATAGAAAGAATTGGGAAACGAATTCTCCATTATCATTCAATAATCATAACGATCAACAAATCATAAAAATATATACAAAACAGAAAGAGAAGAAAAGCGAATAAAGATGATGTCGCTTCTTCTATAACAAACTATTAAACCGAAGGGTGTACTTATATGTCACCACCCACTTGTTCTATATCACGTCAGATTTCCACTCATCCACTTTTCACTCATCAAAAGCCAGAAAATAGTCATCTTTCACTTCCCCTCATTATTTATTTATCTATTTTTTAAAATACATTTTGTACCAATATTATATTCTATTTGTAGGGAATTAAAAACCACAAATTTTATTATATATATATATATATATATATATATATATATATATATATAAATTATATATATTAAAAGCTAAAAACAATAAAAATAAATACAATAGAGCTAGCTAATCACATGAGGAGAGAAAGGACGGGGTACCTTCCCTTCACATTTTCCCCGCACTGCCTAAACCGCACCAACGATGTGGTGTTCCTAGATGTGGTTCCCATTTTGGTGATTCATCACCTTTCCTCCTCCACTTCTTGTAGCGCTATAACTTCTTCTAGCGCTACCCTTTTTCTATTCATTCATGTACCCTAAGGATAGAGGGAGTAGCCCTCGTTAGGGACTCGTCTCCAGCTCGCTACCCTCGCCAAAGCCCTTCCCATTAAACTTGCTACAAGCATCGCTAAGACAGACTCGCTAGCTGCGTAACGATATGAAAGAGAAAGATAAAAGAAGAGAGGAGGTGAATGCGCTAGTAATCACTTTACTTATTACCAATGTATTTCTACATCCAGTAACATCCTGCATTTTTGGAACAAATTACTTGGTTCGTTTAATTTTTGAGTTGATAATATGTGTGTTTTTTGTGTTGGTTTTTTGTTATCAAGCAAACGGTTCTATGTCCAAATAATCTTTTTTATTTTTTTATTTTTATTATTATTATTATTATTTTTTTTTTTTTGCTTCTTCTGATTTGTTTATGGTAATGTTTGATGGTGGTTGCGGGGTTAGTAACTGTAAACTAGAAACATGTAAAAAGTTAATATATACGAGTATGCTAGAGTTCACATAAGGTTGAATAGAGATGCCAACTTAGTTTATTAAAGGTAAAAGCTTTCATGCACACCATTAGCTTTATCCTCTTTGTTGGTTTCTAGTGAGAATCTGCTTTTTCCCAAGAAGAAAATATAAATTTATGTAATACCGAGTTCATTTAATCCAAGGTTATAGTCGTTTCCTAATTAATTAGATGCATCAATTGGGAAGATATTGAATGTAAAGTTCTTAACTAGTGAAATTTGTATCTCTATTATATTATATATTGTCATTATTAAAGAGTTCGTACTTTGGAAGTTAGAAGTCATTATCTTAATTACATTAGGTGGTTTAAAAAAAATTGATTAATATTTGTACATAAAAAATGTTTGTGTATTAAACTAAAGTACTTCAATTAAATTATAAAAAAAAATAGAGTGTTAGAAGTATTACCACTCCCTACCAAATACAAAGATTAGATACTAAATTAAGAAAAATGAAACGGCACTTTTTATATGACAACGTGTTAGAAGTGTTACCACTTCTCTAAGTCTAAAAGTATCATTCTTTTAAAACCATATGCTAGAAAACTGAGACAAGATTGTACCCACAAACTCACACCAAACTTCATGACAGAGAAAAAAACTGGCACCAAACTTCACATGACTTTGGATCTGTGATTATGAAATTTCGCTTTCAGTTATTCACACCATGTACAATAATAAAGAGTACATATAATAAAAGTTGTACAAAATCATGGTAATATATTGTTAAATAGTTTATTTGATAATGACCTAACAAACCAAAATTAGCAGGATTAAGGTGTTTGTGAAAACAAAAATATAGTTATAAAATAAGATGGTTTTAAACTAAATGTGTAAATTTAATATAGTAAAGTTGTATTACGTACGTAAGCCATTCTAAAAATATTCTCATTGAATAAAAATAAAATACATATGAAAAGCAAAACTAATGACACATTGATTTTTTTTTTTTTAATAATCTTAAATACAGATTCAACAGTCAACACTAACAATAAAAGTTTAATCAACTAATTGCATCATAATTTTTAATTTAAAATAAAAAATTACCATATGTCACCAGTACCAAAATTTTATGGTATCCGAAAATCTAGAATCTAGTTTATAAAGTTAGCCATATAAATAAAAAGTTTACAACCACATATATCAAGTCACCAATTTGAATTTCTCATCGTCACCTTGTCCTTATATAACTCCACTAGTTTAGGGACATTAAAACATTCAGAGGCTGCTGATTCAAAATGGGTTCCCTTCCAATCTTGACTATTCTTGAAGAGTCGCAAGTATCGCCACCTCCGGCCACAGTAACCAACAGGTCGCTACCACTTACTTTCTTCGACTTCTTATGGCTAACCCAACCTCCTATTAACGCTGTCTTCTTCTATGACCTCCCCATCACTAAATCACAATTCACTGAAACCGTTGTCCCCAAACTGAAAAAGTCGTTATCAATCACCCTTCAACATTTTTTTCCATTCGTTGGCAACTTGATCGTGTTTCCTTCCCCTGATAAAAAACCAGAAATCCGATATGTTGAAGGTGATTACGTCGATGTTACGTTCGCAGAATGTAACCTTGATTTCAGTGATCTTACAGGAAACCATCGACGAGACTGTGACAAGTTTTATCATCTTGTACCTCTTCTCAAACGCACTGTTAAAGTCTCCGACTTTATAACAATCCCGGTGTTCTCCGTTCAAGTTACACTTTTTCCGAACAATGGATTCTCTATTGGCATGACGAATCACCATAGCTTGGGTGATGCTAGCACGCGGTTTTGTTTCTTGAAGGCCTGGACTTCGATAGCTCAATCAGGAACAGATGAGTTGTTTTTAACTCATGGGAGTTTACCCGTTTATGATCGACTTGTTAAATACCCGAAACTTGATGAAAGTTATCTCGAGAACGCAAAGGTTGAAACTTTTAACGAAGAGTATCAACTTCCAAGTCTTTCAGGGCCAACTGATAAAGTTCGAGCGACAGTTATCTTGACACGAAGTGTCCTCAATCGGTTGAAGAAATTGGTTTCAACCCAACTGCCTACTTTAGTATATGTATCATCTTTTACAGTTGCATGTGGTTATATCTGGAGTTGCATAGCAGAATCAAGAAACGATGAGTTTGAACTTTTTGGTTTCACCATCGATTGTAGAGCACGTCTGAATCCACCGATCCCTGCGGCTTATTTTGGCAACTGTGTGACGTTTTGTGGAAACATGGATAAAACCAAGATGTTAATGGGAAAGGAAGGATTTGTTAATGCTGCTAAATTGCTTGGAGAAAGTTTACATAAGACCTTGACTGATAAAGATGGAATCGTGAAAGATTTAGGATCGTTTGAAGATTTCTTGTCTGAAATGAAGCCAACAACAATGATCGGGGTTGCTGGATCACCGAAGCTCAAGTTTTACGATTTGGATTTTGGATGGGGGAAGCCTAAAAAGCATGAAACGATTTCGATAGATTATAATGGATCCATATCCATGGCTGCTTGCAAAGATCAAAATGAAGATCTGGAGATTGGTGTGTGTCTTTCGGCTACCGAGATGGAGGTTTTTGTTCGTATCTTTAATAATGGACTAGAAAAGTACATTTAGATTAATTAAATTATCATGGTTGCTCTTTGTTTTTCCTTGTTGATCTGATGGTTGGTAATGGGTATTACCATTATTTCAGATTAATCAAATTATATCTTTTTTTGTTGTTGTCAAAAGTCATGAGTGATTTCAGTAAATACACTTGTTGAATAAAAATATATGCATTATATAAATGTTGTGATTCATCTGGAAATGAAATAAAATATAATTATTATATATGTACAGTGAAAATGAAATAAAATATTATTGAAGAGTCAAAAACGACAACAGCAACGTATGAGAGCACACGTGGTTTATCTGCGAATTTCTAAATAAATTTAATATTTTCATTTTTTATCTTTTTCAATTTTTTTTATATGTTTAAAATTATAATATATTAATCTATTTACTAAAATATAAATTACAGATCTGTATCATCGTTACAGGATACATCCCCGATTAAAGAAATTATCTTAATAATTTTGAATATAATATAATCTTTTGCTCCTCCATTCAGAAATTTGTTGCATTTTCCGTTTCAACGGTAAAGCCTAAACCCTAGAAACGTGAAGAAGATATTAAATAATACCTCCATAACTCGTCAAGAGAGGAGAAAGTGTAGATAGGGCACATGGAACTACCCTAACCGGCTTGCTTAGACTGAGCAGAGGGAGTATCGAACCAGAACGTCTAAGAATGCTCGAGTGGATGATGTGCTATGGCCGTACCAGGCGTGGAAGAAGAGGAAGACGATAGCGTATCCGCGCCGCCACTGACAATCTCTCCCTTTTTTAGTTGTTCATCTTAAACACCCCTATGCTTGTTGACACGATTTGTTTGTATGGCGGTGGAGAAGCAGAAAAGCAACATGTATCAATAGAAGCCGATGATGTAATAATCTATAGCCTAGGCCAAATAGATGGATTTGCCTTATGAAGTTATTGTTCATAAGTCGATTGTCTTTTAGTTATATACTAGACGAATACTTGTACGTTGCGCATAATCTAATAAAGTTTTTTGTTGTTATGAATTATAAGATAATAATTTTACTATTTAGTAGATATAAAATATTTTAATATTAGAAAGAAAAAACATTATAAATGGTCTCTGTGGTTTCCCCAAATCTGAAGTTTAATCCCCCGTGGTTTAAAAACATCATAGATGGTCCATGTGTTTTCAAAACTTTTGATGATTGGTCGTTATTGTTAACTCCGTTAAGTTTTGTCCGTTAACAGAAGGGCATTTTCGTCATTTCACTACCACAGGGACCATTTATGATGTTTTCTCTTTTTAAAAAAAATTAATATAATTATTTAATATCTCTCTCTCTCTAAATTAAATATAATTATTTAATATATATATATATATATATATATATATATATATATATATATATATATATATATATCTCACACACAC